CCCTCCGAGGAAAGGCGAGCCTGGTTGAAGAAGATGCGTCCAAAGTGATCTCTGTCTGGGAACACATCTGCCTGTCTGGGTAAATTGGCTCCTCCAGAATCCACTAGAGAAAAACAGATCAGAGATAAAAGTATTAGGAGGAAAATGTTATTTTACACAGAATATGAACCCTCTGAGAGAACCCACCCAGATATATGCACGGTAGATGGTTTTGCTGTGCAATCTCTTGGGCGCGCAAGTGCTTCTTCACAGTGACCGGATAATAGGTTCCACCTTTGACAGTAGCATCATTCGCAACTATAATACATTCCACCCTGTGAGGTGCACAGACATGGTGTTATGAACTATAAACTTCTGTAGGTTATTAACAGATGTAACAATGCATATTGTATGCTGCTCACCCTGACACTCGACCAATACCAATGATTATGCCTCCCGCAGGAACCTCCTCACTACCATATAACTGATAGCCAGCAAACTGGGAGAACTCAAGAAATGGAGACCTGCATTCACACAAAGAAAAGAAGTTCAGTGTGAATGGACAGCAACATTTCAATCACGACATTTTAATTGTTTGTTTATAAAAATGACTTTGTTCTTACCCAGGGTCCAACAGTCTGTCGATGCGTTCCCGAGGCAGGAGCTTTCCTCTGGATGTGTGTAGGTTTCTTGCTTTTTCTCCACCTCCTTTGAAAGTGGCAATATTGTGTAAACATGAGTGTCAGGAAATGTGCTAATGCTGCCACAAGAGTGTAAAATGTAAAATTCACTCACTGTGTTTAGGAGTATCAAATTAAATACTTTGTGCTCACCGAGTTTGATCTCCTCTGCTCTGTCCTTCAACTCCTTCACCAGCGCTTGCATTCGCTCATAATTTTCCTACAATATGAAAACTGGATGGTCAACAACCATATTCAAAATTTATTATTATATAAACAACTAGCCCCTGACTAAAGTCCTAAATATGGTTCAATCAAGCCTCACCAGACTCAGACAGTTTATGGAGTTGAAAAAAAAAAAAAAAAAAATGTTATATTGTATATTACACATGTACCAAGAGCAGTAACAATTTCCTTCGCTAAGCCTGTGCGACCTTGGCAAACTTACAGCAGGTGAAATATGAAGATAATTGACTTTAATATTGTTTTCAAATTCGGTGTTGGCAAAAAGCAGGGGTACCTAACAAAAGAGGTAGGCCTATATTTTTCAAATTAAACTTTTGCTTCTTATAGTAAAAAGTAGTCATGTTTATTTTAAAGATTCTTATTTTCTCTCTCACACATGTATATGAAATATTAAGATGTGCTCTTACAATACATATTTCTGTTTTGAATGCTAATCACTGATCTATAATAGAGAACATTACATAGATCAGTGATGCTAATAATCTAATAATCAACATATTTGATAAAGAGAAAATATAAACGTAGATCAAAAAGTAATTTGTGGTAAACCCTTGTAGTGGTCATATTTGATTGAAATGTTTAAAACTGTGAGCGTTTTAAAAAACTGTCTAATTTGGCATATTTTGCCTCGACGTCTCAATTATTTGTAAGAATTACTTCTTGGGGAAGTTGTGGCCTAATGGTTAGAGAGTCGGACTCATAACCCGAAGGTTGTGGGTTCGAGTCTCGTACCGGCAGGGATTGTAGGTGGGGGGAGTGAATGTACAGCGCTCTCTCCCACCTTCAATACCACGACTGAGGCGCTCTTGAGCAAGGCACTGAACCCCCAACTGCTCCCCGGGCGCCGCAGCAAAAATGGCTGCCCACTGCTCCGGGTGTATGTTCACTGCTGTGTGTGTGCACTTTGGATGGGTTAAATGCAGAGCACTAATTCCTAGTATGGGTCACTATACTTGGCCACATGTCACGTCAAAAAATTATCAGTGACAGGTTAGTGCAGGGTGCAAACAAGTTTCCTCGTCTAATGTATGTGTATTATATTTGAGCTATTTCACATGTCTCTTTAAATACTGACGCAGGCATGAATATTTAAGAGAAGGTACATTTTTTCACGGTTGTTGTAGCAGTTGTGTTGTGCATGTAGTGCACAAGGACACGACATGTACGGCTGCCGAAGCAGATGAACCCCCACTGCCGGCTGGCTGCAAGAGCTTGAGTCCGAGGCTTCATTCGCGGCCTAAGTTACCTGAAAGACCGGAGACTGCGAATCGGACTGCGAGCCCACTGTTGCCACTTTGTCCTTATGATGTAACCTGGAAACTGCAGCATTTACACTCCTGCTCCGAATGAGGGAAACCACCGGTCTAACATAGTGCAGAAACATGGTTCATCCTCTTAACTGACAGCTCTAAGGACGACCTCACCACTTAGGTCGGACAGCAAACGGTTAACGTTGAAGTTTAGCTCCCGTTTCCTTAGCCAATGAAAACTGCTGGATTTGTAACAGCCCCTTTTCTCTTGACATAAGAGTATCATGAAGTAGTAATCTATTCCGAATGCTTTCTGTTTGCTACGGACAACACGTTATTATTGATTTTCGCTAGTAAAAATCTTGTTAGAGAGATCTTATACAATTTTACGATCTGCAACTTTTTGTAATAAGAATTTAACCGAATTGGAGATGTAGCAGGTGTGCATTTAGAATATTTTGTGATTCAACTTATGCAGTTTGCTTGTAACACTAAATATTACTGATCTCAATAACCTGAGTTATGACTCTTGATGCTGTTATTTTGTCAAAACCACCATTACAGTTTAACCAAATATTTAATTTTACAAAACTGTCCATCATATGCTAAAAACGGTAACACTCCTTAAGATTATAGTTGGAAAAATGTGTTCAATTTAAATCTCTCTCTTCTTCGTTTTTGGTCATTTAGATTTTCCTATTTAAGTGCACTGTATTTTCTGAGAAAGAAATTCCATCTTAAAACAAAACAAAAAAAAATTAAGTTGGAAAAAGTGAATATTAATTTATTTACTTATAATTTCTCCAGTGCTGTAATATCCAGACTGTACCACAAATTGCAAATACAACTGACAATATCTAATAATTCATGAAAATTCTTTATAATAAATTCTCACTGGAGAGAGGTATTATAACCCACAAAAAGGGCTTTGCTCTCAGAAAGAAAAACAAATGAAAGTAACATACAGTAACCATAAAAACAAATATATTTGCACTGAACAAAACAAGATCAGTCAGTGAAAAACACACTGATAAAAGTGGTGCGATGTTCAGCATTAAATAAATAGAAATAAATAACTGAGCTGTGACAACCTGTATCACTGCATATCTCATCACCAAAAAAGGACAAAGGCCTCATAACAGAAATGTATATGTGTATGTATGTATATATATATGTTTTCCCTTCATGAACAAAATTTAATTAGAGAAACTGTATTACAATTACTAACAATTCTCTAACAGGTCTATAATTAGCAGTGTAACAGTGTTACACCTCGTCCACTTTAGTGCAATGAACTGGAACAGCAGCAGTGAAATTGAACCAAAACAACCCAAATAAAAATCAATCCGGATCCACAACTTCAGTGAAGATGTCATCCAGTAAGAAGTGGGACACTTGATCAGGATTCTTATCAGCATCCAAACTGGAGACAGGAGGGCTGTTTTGAGGAGACTGCACAACAGAGGATGTAGCATTAATGAAAACGACTAATATAAAAATGGTAATCGATTCAAAGCTAACAAGTCCTTATCTAACAATAAGGTCAAATGTGACCCTGGAACACAAAAGCATTCATGAGATTTATACATATAATAGATAAGCTTTCCATTGATGTATGGTTTGTTAGGATAGGACAATATTTGGCAACTATTTGAAAATCTGGAATCTGAGGGTGCTAAGAAAATCGCATTTAAAGTTGTCCAAATGAAGTTCTTAATGCATACTACTAATCAAAAATTAAATATAAATATATTTACAGTAGGAAATTTACAAAATATCTTCATGGAACATGATCTTTACTTAATATCCTAATGATTTTTGGCATAAAAGAAAAAACGCTAATTTTGACCCAAACAATGCATTGTTTGCTATTGCTACAAATACAGGTGCATCTCAATAAATTAGAATGTCGTGGAAAAGTTCATTTATTTCAGTAATTCAACTCAAATTGTGAAACTCGTGTATTAAATAAATTCAATGCACACAGACTGAAGTAGTTTAAGTCTTTGGTTCTTTTAATTGTGATGATTTTGGCTCACATTTAACAAAAACCCACCAATTCACTATCTCAACAAATTCGAATATGGTGACATGCCAATCAGCTAATCAACTCAAAACACCTGCCATTGAATTTATTTAATACACGAGTTTCACAATTTGAGTTGAATTACTGAAATAAATGAACTTTTCCACGACATTCTAATTTACTGAGATGCACCTGTATACCCGTGCTACTTATGACTGGTTTTGTGGTCCAGGGTCACAAATAATGTACATAATGCAATGATTTGATTGTAGATGACAGCATGTACCTGATGATCTGCCTGTGTTCGGGAGGGTGTGGTGGACACGCTAGCTGGGGACGAAGTAGGTGTAGAAATGTTCTCATCAGTAGCTGTTAATGGTATACGATGAAGAACAATCCTTGGCGAGTATCCTGGCAGCAAGGGCGGCTCCTCATCGGCATGTGATTCTAAACCAGAGCTTCTGCTTCCACGCAAAGCCAGAGATGCCTTGTCCATCTCATTCCTAAGAATACAAACAGATGTTTTTACTGTGAACAGCACTAAATATTCTGATTTCGACAATCTGAAAAGAATTACATACCATGTCATTGGCATGAAATGGAAAACATCCTTACCCTCTAGAAGTGGGTTTTACAGTGACAGGCGTGCTGTGATGCTTTGGTTGCAGGACACTTTGAGCACTGCAGATTTCCTCTACAGATAACCTTTCTAGCTGTACCCAGCATGCATTTGAGATCTCTCCTGTTTGTTGTCTTGTTGGAGTTCCCATGAACTCTTTCACTTTTGATGTCGGAGTTCGCTGAGGTGTTGTCGGGGCAGCTTGGGTTGACTTCAGCATATGAGGTTGATCTTTAAGGCGTCTTTCAGGTGACCTTAGTGTCATCTGAAATTTACCTTTTTGAGAGAAATCAGAAAAAATAAATCAATATTACACACAAAGATTAATAACAGTCTGAGATGAGGAATGACTAACTTCTTGCTGGTGATTTTTTTGCTTGTGATGCTGGCAGACTCTCATTTGATTTTGTCATGTCAGAAGTAGTGTCTAATTGGTGTACCTATACAACAGATTTTTGCATCGTCATTTGCACCTTGTTTAAAGTTTTATAAAGATTAATCTCGAAAAACCTGTCCAGGTCACATTTCACTCCAAAAAGTAATAAATAAATATTTTGTTCATTTTACTCCCTCATTATATAGTTATTAAATAAATAATTGTATTTTATTATTTTTTAAATCATTTGAATTATTTAACATATTTTTGAAGGTTTTTTTTTTATTTTTATAAAATGTGATCTAGACACTTTTTCATGAGACTTATCCATATAAAATCAATTGTTATGAACTACAGCTAAATGCTTCTTAAAATAGCATACATCACTTGAAATTTCAGAGGGCATCTCCTCACTCTTTGTTGGACTAAGCTGATTTGCTCATGCTTATGAGGACTGCTTAAGACAAACACTTTCAGCTCTGTGCTGTTCTCTCCAGTCTCTTCAGAAACGGGCACAAATGCATCTGACAGCAACATGTGGGAAACTCCTTCACACCAGTTCTCCATCTCATCTGAGTCCATGGGCAGCATATTGCTTTTGAGAGACCATTCTGCAGCTTGAGGGTCCAGGGACTGCTGAGGTGTAGCTAAAGAGGTCTGTGTAGAGCTGGGCGGGCAGAGGTCATTTTCTGAAGGATCAGCTTTTCTTTTTGACAATTTAGGCATTGGATGCAGTGTGCCTTGAAAAATAGATTCAATATTGATTGAAAGCATGAAATTAGAAGCAAATCCAAAATCGTCTGCTTAAATAATAAATGTATGTTAATAGACGCTTAAATTTGACAGAAAAATTACATGTTAAAGCAGCACTATGTAACTTTTTCTGTGTTCAAAATTTGCAAAATGTATATAATGAGCGAGTACATCATGAATTAATCTTCCAAACCGCGTTTTTGTCTTATTATAAGTATACCGTAGTGATTCGGAATAAGTACTTATATTTGGACTATTGTAGCCTGGTTGGGTCGTCACCGCTGCGGAGTAACACATACCTGCGTGAATCGCCATAGACATAAACTTAGAGAAGTAGCTCCGGTTGGAAAGTTCTTCCGCGGGATGTGTGCAGTTCTGTTTATTAACCGCTAGAGTGCCAAAAGTTACATAGTGCTGCTTTAAAAAAACATGGTTTAGAGTTTTTTCTGGATCTGTCGCTCCCAATGAAAAGGCAAAAATAATTTTTAATTTGTTTCATTTTTAACTTAAACTGCTATTATAATAAATATATATATATATATTCTCACTATAACTAGTTGTTTATTAGCATGCCTATTATTAATATATTGGGTATTTATTAATACTTATAAAGCACATATTCTGCATGACCATATTCTACATCCTTAATCCTACAAAATACCTAAACTTAACAACACTAACTATAAATAAGCAGCAAATTAGGAGTTTATTGAAGCAAAAGTCGTAGTTAATGGTTTGTTAATAGTGAGAATTGGACCTTAAAATAAAGTGTGACAATTATTTTGCTTTATATTATTATTTTATGCATTCTTACCTCTCCTACAGCAAGGTGTTTTCCATTCCACTGCCACAGACTGACTTGAGCTCATCTCTTCCATTTCAGTATTTGTTGGTCTCTCATTATCTGTTGACTTCTCAACCTATGGCAGGTAAAACGATTTATATTTTTGCAGAATTTTTTATTAGGATAAAAAGTACTCAAGCGATCAATGACCTTTCAAAATACAGAAACATACTTTGACTGCATCTTCTTGAAGACCAGCAGATAAGGCCTCTTTGTGAAGGCTGCATTCAGCGGTATCATCCAATACAGGCACCAAAATATCAGACAGCACAATGTGTGAAACACCCCCAGATGCTTCCTCATGGTCCTCCGAGCCAGTGGGCAGCAAGTCAGCACTATGACAGAAAGACCAACCCATTAGTAAGTAATGTGACATTTTGGTGAAAATGTAAAATGTACAGATCAGAGGATAAAGTCACTCATACCATGTCTCAGCACTACATTGTGTTGACTCCGACATTAAGATTGACAGAGGAACGGTTTGTGATTGCTCGCCACTCTTAGGGGAATCTCCAGTCTTTCTTTTTGGAAACGTCATCTTTACCAATAACTTGCCTTAAAAGCAAGAGGCATAATAAAGAATCAAAAATGTTACTCAAAGAAAATTCATCAAATTGTTACAGAAACTAAACAGTGTGTTGAGAAAAGACACAATTTTGAAAGTGTTTCATCACCTTTGCCCCGAGTGGGTCTTTCCCTCTTGGGTGATACTGATGGTCCCACATTTGATGGGTGTGACACTTGACAGAACAGGTCTGCGGTATCTGGATCCTCTCTCACCTGTAATATATATTTTAAATAAAAGTCTAATTAATTATTGGTATTAAAATGTTTGCCAATTTGAAATAAAAATGTACATTTAAATATCCAAAATTGACCAATACCAATAAAAAAATATATCTGCCAGTACTCCTTACTCATTCTGCCATTCAGCTAACTAACCTGAGATCTTCCTTCCTCATGAGGGCTTTTCTCTCCAGCTTTTGTCCATTCATTGCTTAAATCATCTTCCATTTTCTCACAGATGGGGATCAACATATCAGTCAGCAGCATGTGTGAAACACCCTCATGCGAATGCATCTCCTGGTCTGCTTCTGCAGAGACAATCTGCTGGCTCTCTTCACCCATTTGGAGACTGCTTTGCACTCGCAATATGATCGCCGTTTTCCATTTCAGCGGAAACCGGCACCAATATATCAGGCAACACCACGTGTGACGCATCCTCATGCCTACCCTCTATTTTCAGTTCCACTGGATGCAATTCAGTGCTATGACAGAAAGTTAAAAAAAAAGGGGATCTCCTCACTCTTTGTTGGACTAAGCTGATTTGCTCATGCTTATGAGGACTGCTTAAGACAAACACTTTCAGCTCTGTGCTGTTCTCTCCAGTCTCTTCAGAAACGGGCACAAATGCATCTGACAGCAACATGTGGGAAACTCCTTCACACCAGTTCTCCATCTCATCTGAGTCCATATTGCTTATATTGCTTTTGAGAGACCATTCTGCAGCTTGAGGGTCCAGGGACTGCTGAGGTGTAGCTTGTGTAGAGCGTGTAGAGCTGGGCGGGCAGAGGTCATTTTCTGAAGGATCAGCTTTTCTTTTTGACAATTTAGGCATTGGATGCAGTGTGCCTTGAAAAATAGATTCAATATTGATTGAAAGCATGAAATTAGAAGCAAATCCAAAATCGTCTGCTTAAATAATAAATGTATGTTAATAGACGCTTAAATTTGACAGAAAAATTACATGTTAAAGCAGCACTATGTAACTTTTTCTGTGTTCAAAATTTGCAAAATGTATATAATGAGCGAGTACATCATGAATTAATCTTCCAAACCGCGTTTTTGTCTTATTATAAGTATACCGTAGTGATTCGGAATAAGTACTTATATTTGGACTATTGTAGCCTGGTTGGGTCGTCACCGCTGCGGAGTAACACATACCTGCGTGAATCGCCATAGACATAAACTTAGAGAAGTAGCTCCGGTTGGAAAGTTCTTCCGCGGGATGTGTGCAGTTCTGTTTATTAACCGCTAGAGTGCCAAAAGTTACATAGTGCTGCTTTAAAAAAACATGGTTTAGAGTTTTTTCTGGATCTGTCGCTCCCAATGAAAAGGCAAAAATAATTTTTAATTTGTTTCATTTTTAACTTAAACTGCTATTATAATAAATATATATATATATATTCTCACTATAACTAGTTGTTTATTAGCATGCCTATTATTAATATATTGGGTATTTATTAATACTTATAAAGCACATATTCTGCATGACCATATTCTACATCCTTAATCCTACAAAATACCTAAACTTAACAACACTAACTATAAATAAGCAGCAAATTAGGAGTTTATTGAAGCAAAAGTCGTAGTTAATGGTTTGTTAATAGTGAGAATTGGACCTTAAAATAAAGTGTGACAATTATTTTGCTTTATATTATTATTTTATGCATTCTTACCTCTCCTACAGCAAGGTGTTTTCCATTCCACTGCCACAGACTGACTTGAGCTCATCTCTTCCATTTCAGTATTTGTTGGTCTCTCATTATCTGTTGACTTCTCAACCTATGGCAGGTAAAACGATTTATATTTTTGCAGAATTTTTTATTAGGATAAAAAGTACTCAAGCGATCAATGACCTTTCAAAATACAGAAACATACTTTGACTGCATCTTCTTGAAGACCAGCAGATAAGGCCTCTTTGTGAAGGCTGCATTCAGCGGTATCATCCAATACAGGCACCAAAATATCAGACAGCACAATGTGTGAAACACCCCCAGATGCTTCCTCATGGTCCTCCGAGCCAGTGGGCAGCAAGTCAGCACTATGACAGAAAGACCAACCCATTAGTAAGTAATGTGACATTTTGGTGAAAATGTAAAATGTACAGATCAGAGGATAAAGTCACTCATACCATGTCTCAGCACTACATTGTGTTGACTCCGACATTAAGATTGACAGAGGAACGGTTTGTGATTGCTCGCCACTCTTAGGGGAATCTCCAGTCTTTCTTTTTGGAAACGTCATCTTTACCAATAACTTGCCTTAAAAGCAAGAGGCATAATAAAGAATCAAAAATGTTACTCAAAGAAAATTCATCAAATTGTTACAGAAACTAAACAGTGTGTTGAGAAAAGACACAATTTTGAAAGTGTTTCATCACCTTTGCCCCGAGTGGGTCTTTCCCTCTTGGGTGATACTGATGGTCCCACATTTGATGGGTGTGACACTTGACAGAACAGGTCTGCGGTATCTGGATCCTCTCTCACCTGTAATATATATTTTAAATAAAAGTCTAATTAATTATTGGTATTAAAATGTTTGCCAATTTGAAATAAAAATGTACATTTAAATATCCAAAATTGACCAATACCAATAAAAAAATATATCTGCCAGTACTCCTTACTCATTCTGCCATTCAGCTAACTAACCTGAGATCTTCCTTCCTCATGAGGGCTTTTCTCTCCAGCTTTTGTCCATTCATTGCTTAAATCATCTTCCATTTTCTCACAGATGGGGATCAACATATCAGTCAGCAGCATGTGTGAAACACCCTCATGCGAATGCATCTCCTGGTCTGCTTCTGCAGAGACAATCTGCTGGCTCTCTTCACCCATTTGGAGACTGCTTTGCACTCGCAATATGATCGCCGTTTTCCATTTCAGCGGAAACCGGCACCAATATATCAGGCAACACCACGTGTGACGCATCCTCATGCCTACCCTCTATTTTCAGTTCCACTGGATGCAATTCAGTGCTATGACAGAAAGTTAAAAAAAATTGCCTATAATAATTGTACACAGATTGAAGGATATTTATTAAAATAGATGTTTCTTACCATGCTGTTGATTTTACAGTGCTGAATGGTATAAGCGGTTGAAGTTGTGAGGATGAAGCAATCCCAGCAGGCTCTCCGTCTAATTCCTCCTTTGGAATATCAGAAAAATCTTCTTGCTCGGATCTCTGTTCCACTTTAATGGATTCTTCTTTAATCAGAGGTTCTGGTGAAATTATTTGAGTTGTGGCTGGATCATTATACCCAAAGTCAGATAGCTTCTGTCTAGAACAATCGTCTTCAGTAGATGTCGTTTTGGGGATGTTTGGCTTCACTTGCCTTGAGAACAAGGAAATAAAAAGTTAAAAGTAATGAAACCAGTTTGTTCTCAAGTGTCAAGCAAGTAAGTTTGAGCTTCCATTTATCCATGATGTGCTTTATGTATGCATGTATGTTGATCAATAAAAGCCAACATTACGTATAGTGTCTTTTCTTAAGACTTGGATTAAACCACTTAAAAATATTAAAAATATCTTCATTTGTGTTTCAAAGATGAACAAAAGTCTCATGGGTTTGTAATTACATGAGAGTAAATGATGACTATTTTACTTGTTGGGTGACTATCCCTTTAAAATGATAAAATAAGTCAGTTAAAGGGACATTAATATCATTACCTCTCCTAAAGGGCATAGTCTTCTCTTGAGATGCAGATGATGACACACATGATGCCTCTCTGCAAGTATCAGGCTTTTTAGAAATATCTGCCATTTTTTCCTCCTGTGGACACAAGTACTAATAAATTCATGTGATGTGTTCCTAGTAAACTTGAAACTTTAAGTTAAAAATGGACTTCAAGGAGATTAAAAAAAAAAAAGCAGATACTTAAAATTGAGCTTTATTTCTGGGAAATGGACCACTCATCAAGCAATTTCATAACATATTGAGGACTAATGTTTTGTTTAGATATAAACAAAAACACTTACTTGGTCAATAACTGAAGGAAGAGATTTCGCACTCTCTGTAAGAAATACAGATAAGCCCTCAGGTATTTGGAGCTCACTATCATGAGGGCTTTCCTTTCCCTTATTAAAAACATCCTTCATTTCTTCTGATGAAGGCATCAGCCAACACTATGTGTGAAATACCCTCATAAGCAGCTTTGTTGTTCCCCTCAGACTCCTTTATGAATGTACTGTGCACCTGTGAAGAAACACTTATGTGAATGACTGATTTATACAGAAAAAACTGGTCTGTTTCAACAGAGAACAGCCTCTGACTCACTGGAGGGTCAACAACAGAGTCCTCATTCCTCTGGAGTTCTGTTCTGAGAGGACATTCCCACTTCAGGTGACTCTCATCTTTCATATCTTCAGACACTGGCACAATGGCTATTGATATCACGCCATCAGGTCCAGGATGGGCTTCCCTCTCACTGTCTTCAAGGCTTGAGTGGCTTTCAGGACCAACTGTTTCCTGCACAGATAGTTTCTGGTTGGACTCGATCTCAGTTTGTGCTGTGGCTTGAGATGTTGGTAGATTCTGACTGGGTGCAGTCAAACTGGCCATTTTTTGAAGGCCCAACCTTCACAGATGGCTTTAGTTTCGGCTTGACCTTTATCTTGCCTTCATGGAGAGATCAGACAGGATATTACCATCTCATCTACATGAATATACCAGTTTTAATATATGACATAACTGTTGAATGCAAGTGAACTTCCTACATCTCCTTTGAGTAGGTGCTTTAGTTTCTGGGGATTCTGTCAGGATCTCATCCAACTTCAGCTTTTACCAAAAGAGAAAACATTTTAAATTTCCAAAACTGCTACAAAATATAAACTATATTATCATAATATATTGTAAATTATGATAACAAAAGGGAGTACTACATCATACCGTGGCAGAATTACAAGAGAACATCCCGGGTGGACTAATTAAAGAGTTCACATCATCACAACTGCTTTCCAGTGAGGATATCAATTGTGTGCTAACATCATCTGCTTCTTCCTTTGAAAGAGGATCCAGGGAGTCATCCACCACCTTGCGAGAACTACTTTTACATAGATTACTGGTCTCTTCAGACGTCATGTTCAGAGATGCACTACAAAACAAGGTCATTAAGGATGAAAGGAATGGATGATCAAGGATTTTGTTTTTTACGTTCCATAAAAACGTTACCTAATTAAATCTAGACTGGAAGGGAAATGTACCTGGAAGGCTCTAATGTGAAGGAAAGAGAATGTGAACTGCTTGAGAACAGCAAGGGTGTCTGGACTTGTGCTGGCTGCAGTTCATTAGGGGGAGTGTCCTGCTGCCCAAAGGCAGCCTCATGGGACAGCTGAGAGGCTGGAATCTCATATAGAGTTAAAATAAATGTGGGCTCCTCCTCAGAATGTTTATCTGTGACAAGGAAGGAAATTTTTAAAACAACAATATACGCTACCATTCAAAGTTTAGGGTCAGATTTTAAAGATAAGATAATAAATTAATACTTTTATTTAGCAAGGATGCATTAAATTGTCAGTAAAGATGTTTATAATGTTAAATAAATACAAAGAATCTTGAAAAAAATGTATAGCAGTTTCCACAAAAAAATATTAAGCAGCACAACTAAAATTAATAATAGTAATAAGAAAGCACCAAATCAGCATATTAGAATTCTAATAATATTTCACAGTATTACTGTTTTGTTGAACAAATAAATGCAGCCTTGGTGAGCTTAAGAGACTTCTTTAAAAAACATTTTTTTTTTAATCTTACCAACCCCAAACTTTTAAACAGTAATGACAGCACAGTACATTTACAATATTGTATTTATATTAATTTTATATAGTATTTAAATTTCTCTGGATCATGTGTTCATGTCACCATTACCAATTGCACCTGTATCCACTCCAGCTGAATCTGAAATTTCTGATTTTGCATTTTCATTGAGAGAGGCACTGCATTCCTGCCAGAAAAAAATCCATTAGTTCAAAAGGTGTTTATTCCATTCAGCAAACACAAAATACACAAGGTATTGTTTGTCAGAACTCCTACCTCAGAAGCTTCTGATGGCTCCTCTGTGCCGTCTTGATTTTCTGAATCCTGCTCATCTGGTATTTGAACGTCTTGAGCTGCAGACTCACTAAACTGCATCCTAAAGCAACATTTAAACAACATATTAACCTTCATTTAATAAGACTACATAAATTATTAGAAACATCAATTAAAGCTGCTAAAAAAAAGCTACATTGTACATACTGTACGTGTCCATATCACACAGGTTGCTTGCAGGTTCGTTTGGAGGATCAGAAAAAGATGAAACCGGGCGGAGCGCTTCAAATAGTGCAGATGAAGCATTACTGAGAACTGGGTCTATAAGAAACCGATCAAATGAAAAGACTCAATCGTTTGCGTGTATACATAAAGCATGGTTTCTAATCAGTTTTGTTCTAACATGGAGTTTAAATATGTGGACTAAGTATTTCTATAAAGAAAATCAAATCAGATCAAACTTATTAAATATAATAAAAGTCTAAAACCCACCATTTTGTTATTTGTTTCCTTTACCAGTGCCGTCCACAAGAACTTTTGGGGCTGAAGTTTGTTTTAAGCTAAGTAATGGGACAGGGGACAGGAGATCCTCATCCTGTTTATGTTCCTGTAAATTTCCTTCAAATGACAGAAGCTTCTCTTCTCTGGAGATCTTCTCTTTGTCATGATCCAAATCACTATGCTTGGCTTTAACAGGACTCTTATGTTCAGGCTTCTCAGCAGGATCTAAATGAAGATGTCATGTCTCAATCATTGGCAGCAACACTAGTGACATTTAAAGCAATATTCTCAATCTGAACAACATGAATCCCACCTTCATTAGGCTCTGAGGTCTGTTGAGGGTTTATCATGACCAGAGATGCCCCTTCCAGGTTGGTGGGTGTTATCTTATCAAACTGACTGCGTCTCTCTGGGGCAATACTGCCCTGAGCATAAACTGAGGAACGATCAGAAGCAGAACAGCTGTACAGATGACACCACAGAGCAAAGGCATTGCTAAAAACATTCAAGACAAACCCTGTTAATTTGAGCAATCTATTGATTCATCTGCCACTGCACACCTGACTGGAATAATCCTCTTCAGCTCTGTCTGAGGTTCCTCAATCATGGTGTCTGTGACTTCAGACTCAACAGCTTCTGAATCTTGTTCCTCCTGATCAGTAATTCGATCTTCATTCTCAGACGTCCGAGATGGAGACCTTTCAAATTCTCCTCTTCTTTCAGGCACATCTTTAAAAGTCATTGTCTTTTAACTTTTTTTTTAAAATCTGCTGCAAACCAAGTTAAGCACTTTAATTATGGATTTTTTTATGTCTGAAAAAAGTCTTCTGTCGTACCTTTGTCTGACGCTGTGGTATCAGGAACCTGAGGCTTCTCAAGGAAGGGTACGATCTCCTGGTCCTCTGTCTTACTCACTATTGGAGGACTTCCTTATTTAGAGAAGTGGTACAAAGACAAATTTGTAAAATTAAAATGAGTTGAAAGGAAAAAACAAAGACAGAGAGACAAAAAAGAAGGAGGGAAAGATGGACGGAAAGAAAGACAACCAAATATATATACAAAAAATGCTTTTAATCTTACTAATTGATGTTAAGGAAGGAAGATCATCTACTGTGGTTTCTGCTTCATCATCCTGGACATACAAAAAGGCATTAAAGAAGAGAAAACTCACTGCAAGTCAAATGTATGTTTGGTTTTCCATCACATCATCAGAACACACACTCAGGTCTCTCCTTTGACAAAATCCCTCACCTTAACATCCTGAGGGCCGCTCACTTCTGGAGTAACACTACATGTAAGCTCTTCCTCAGGACGGTCCCTGTGCTCTTCAACAAGGCATTCATTTGGAGCAATCTTCACTTGGACTTCCACAGGACTGCGACATTGCAGCTGCGTTGAGTCACGTTTGAAAGACGGGGTATCTGGATTTAGAAAGAACACATGCCCTCATTCAGAACAGAAAACAACACACAGCATTATACACTCTACACAGGCTACTGGACAGTCTTCTTAGCTCATGGTTTATATGCATCTCAAGCTCACTTTCATTCAGAGGTCTGCGGATGGACTGTGCTGCCCGGCTCAGACTGGGTTTGGGCTTGGAAAACCTTCTCCTTTTTTCAGCAATGCTTAGTTGGGCAGAAACGGAGGCAGTGTCGGTTTCCTTCACATCTTGATCTTGAGAGACCCTCTCTTCTAGAGCACCACTAGAGGAGCCGTGTTCATCAAGACCATCCCTCTGCTCTCCCACCTGCAAATCACATCAACAGTCACTGTTATGATAACTATTTGAGCAATGCACAAACAATAACAGATCACACAAAGAACAAACTCCTCCAGTACTGACATGATGGCCTCTGGCAGGTGCCGTGTCCTGCGGACTCTCAGAGGTTGTTGATTCCTCTGCAGTGGTTTGTGCTTGACTCCTGAGGTAGTGCTTCACTTCGTCATGAGACACCAACACAACTGCTCTTGTCAGTAATTTCTGACCTTAAGAGGATATTAAAAGAAGCATTACACCCATTTTCAACTGGTAATGTGTTGCACCCCAACAACAGATCTGTGTTTGAGATTAGATAAAAAGAGCCTAGAAACAGACTCTTGGTAATGTCATCCATTTGCATTCATTTACATTACCATTCAAAAGTTTGTACTGTTACTCAGCAAGGATGGATTAAATTCATGAAAAGTGATGGTAAAGACATTTATAATGTTTCAAAAGGTTTCTATTTCAAATAAATGCTGTTCTTTAAACTTTCTATTAATCAAAGAATCCTAAAAAATGTATCTCAGTTTCCATAAAAAAATGGTACAGCTGATAACAAGAAATGTTTCTTTCTCTCCAAATCAGCATGTTAGAATGATTTCTGTAACAATGAAGACTGGAGTAATCACTTGAAAACAGTTATTTTAAGTATGAGTACAAATTTCTACGACACACAAGTGCTCACTTTGTCTAACTGGTCTTACTACGACGATATAAATATAAAAACATCAATATGAAAGCATACTCACCATTTACTTCAGATGGAGTTAAAAACTCTAAATGATGTAAATTTAAATCCTAAAAAGAAAAAAGGGTAATTGGTCTCAACTATACAGAAGTGTATTATCTAAAATGAGTAGTTAAGTCTTTCTATTGGTCTGTTTACATTCAAACCCTGAACATAATAGTGACATATTTAAAAATTCTGTAGAATAATACATTACATTTACATTTACATTTAGTCATTTAGCAGATTTTATCCAAAGCGACTTACAAATGAGGACAATAAAAGCAGTCAAAACTAACAAAAGAGCAACAATATATAAGTGCAAATGACAAGTCTCGGTTAGCCTAACACAGTACACGTAGCAATGTATATATACAGTATATATATATATTATACACACACATATACACACACACACACACACAAAGAAACAAAAGTAGATAGAATAGAAAAAATAGAAAGCTACTAGTTTTTTTTTTAAATAAAAGAAGATAAATAGATAATGTGTTGTCCATTTTTCGTAGCTTCTCTGTTGTGTCAGGTCCACTGGTAGATGGCCCATCAAGTTTTTTAAACCACCTGTCCATAGGCTGGTCTCGATAACAATTTTTTTTTATTTGGCGATATACCACCCCAGAAATAATTGCGAGAAACAATATTATTGTAATTTTAAGACCATTTTATGCAACTGACTATATAGTGATGTTTCAGTATCAGCGCTGGGCTGTCAGTCACTGTTACGCCAGCAGGTGGTGGCAATGGATTGACTTTACAAGGGAGTCATCATTAAAAAACATCAATTCAACGGATACGCTTAAAAACTGATTCATTCATGAATGAAACAAGGTGTTGAAATTAATTTAACTTTTGCCATTTTGCAAGGTTCAATCGACAATCAGAGCATCACATGGGTAACACTGAAGCTGATGTTTCACTTCATAGAGATCAATGCCATTGATTCAATGCCCCTTAAGTGCTGAAAGGATACTACGACAAAGATAACAATTTCATCTTCTGACAGCTGATGGCAAACTGATGTTTTTTCATGATATTAGGGATGGGAAGATTCCCCGATTCGCTTGGTGCATCGGCATAAAAAGTTAACGATGCGATGCACCGCATCGGATGCATCGGTTTTAAAAGTGTGCATCGGCTACAAGTTGTCATTTATATCGCGATGCATCGTTTCTAACATAGTTACATCGGTAAAAACCGATTATTTATATATAATTACTAGTGGGTGCGCTATACTTCGATCCACCATGGCAAACAGCGAATATATTTGTGCTGTTTAATGCATTTGAGACGTTGTTTTCCTCAGTGCATAACTGACATGTCACAGGTATATTTTTCATCTGTAAATGTTAGAAAGTCACGCAAACATATCCATTTTGCTGTCAGGAGTGTGCGAGGCTGACGCGCACATGCGTACTAAACAGACTGAGCGCAATCGAATAGGAGCGCAATAATTCTGAGTAAAATATAAATTTTGCTAAAAAAACTGTTTTTGGACATTAAATGTGTCTTTTGTAGAATTTTATACTTACATATAAAGTGTATTTGTATGATAGCAGTAACTGTAAGTGGACTATTACATATATATATATATATATACACACACACATATACATATATATTATTATTATTATTAATAACTTGGGTTTGTACCTGAGACAAATTGCCAGGCGTTCGGCCGGGCTGATGGATTTCCGGAATGCAGTATCCTGCCTGGTAATTTTTGGGCCAACAACCTGAAGGATCTCATTAAATTCCTCTCGTGAGACCCGAAAATACTCACGGAAATCTTCCCTGTTAAGGCGCAGCTCTTGCACTAAACGGTGATACTCGCCAAGATGTTTCCTCCGAGCCAGGTAGTGTTGTCCCACACTGATTTGCGGTATTTCTTTTTGCGTCTCCAGTAAAGGAGTGCAAGAGCAAGAGCCTTTATCCTCCGTACATTCACCATGGTGAAATGAATTGAATGCCAACAATAAACAGCTATGCATATAGGACAAATGACCGCCAATAATTTGGGAGGGAAAATAAAGACAAAATTAAAAATAAAATATACAATTAAATGAATAATTTATTATTCACCAATAATCATGCATTTTTTAAAAGTTTTAAAACAAAATAAAATGTGATTAACAAGCACTAAACGGTGATACTCGCCAAGATGTTTCCTTCCAGCCAGGTAGTCTTGTACCCATACTGATTTGTGGTATTTCTTTTTGCGTCTCCAGTAAAGGAGTGCAAGAGCAAGAGCCTTTATCCTCCGTACATTCACCATGGTGAAATGAATTGAATGTCAACAATAAACAGCTATGCATATAGGACAAATGACCGCCAATAATTTGGGAGGGAAAATAAAGACAAAATTAAAAATAAAATATACAATTAAATGAATAATTTATTATTCACCAATAATCATGCATTTTTTTAAAGTTTTAAAACAAAATAAAATGTGATAAACAAAAAGAATTATAATTCTCAACTTGCGCACACTGATTTGATTGGACAACTTTGGAATACATCACATCCGGTCGGCGTGTCGCATACGGTGTAGTCGCTCAAGTTCAAATATTTGAACGCATCCGAAGCTCAAATCGGATCCGAAAATTCCGCATTCGCAGATGGTCGGCACCCCACGCAGCCCCTGTACGACTCTCCATTGGAAATGAATGACTTCCGGTCCCAACGGCTGTCGTTTGTCGTGTGCAGTGGAAAGGCGGCTTAAGAGTTTATCCACGGACCCAATATACTGTTACACAACATGCGTTCTCTTTCTCAACTATTTAACGTTCCAAAACTGACTGCGTTTAACTGGATACTCACCAAGACGGACATTTTGACATAATTTTGTGTTAGGGTTGTGACGGTGAGGAAAAATTAACAACAATCTTTGTTAATCGAAGTGTGACAACACCGGTATCACCGTGGGGGCGGGGGCGTTCCCTCTTTTCCTCGCTTTTCTTTTGCTTCTAAATAGCTTGTAAAAGCTGCGTGCGCATTTTACTTTCACTTTCAAATAGCGGCAATTCGGCGTAAAGCAATTGTTCGTTTTTAG